TTGAGGTACTTTAGTGTTCCCCAAACCTGACCAAGCAGCCTGGAGCTCTTGACAAAGTGTGAACAAACTCAGTACTTTGGGAAGGGGCTGAGACATTTCTTTCCAGCTCCTGGGGCTGCCAAAGCCTCTGTTTCCTGGACAAGCATTCTTTTGAGCAAGCACTGGACCATTGGAAAGCACTCCCTCTGTCTTAATTCCTATGAATTTCCTGCACCTGCTGTGTGAGTTTTAAGGGTGGGTGTAAGAGAAACGCTTGTCTCTAATAGGAGACAACACCAACAATACAAAGAATGTCCCCGACAGGTCCATCTTGATGACTAAGGAGAGTATTAGTTGTAATACTAATGTTGCAGGGATGTTGCAGTCATACAAAAAGGACAATGCCTCACCTGTTAGCGGCTATGTATTTCACATGGCTCTACGGCTACTGAATACTCAATGCAAATGTGGACCTTGAGTGCCACCTAGTGGCAATATAAATAACTACAGGGTCGGAGAAGCCGCCTAAATCAAATTCAGAAATGGATACTCTTGTGCACCGGTTCAAATTTAATTAGATCAGTGACTTGCCCATGCCTCCCTGGGCAAGTCACTCAACCTGCCTGAGGGTGAGCATCCAAGAGGAGACTATGAAGGACACGAGTGGTCAGGCAAGAAGCCTCATGTGCCAGGCCCTGCCAGAGTGTGGGTTCAGGTAATCCAGCATCTAGGCAGGAATGTCTCCAGATTTTCTATTCTGTGGACCCAGACTGACTTTTCCATAACACACAAAAAATGACTCATATGGTTGATAGCACCATCCAGGAGCCCAGGCCTCATATGTGCACAGGGCTCCTCAGTATCAGAATCTGGATAATGCTTTTTTTTTTTTTTTTTTTGAGGAAGTATGTCACTGTTATGTGGGCTTTGAGGTCTTCAGTGCTCAAACTACAGCCCAGTGTGATATACAGTCTTCTGCTGCTGCCTGTGGCTCAAGATGTAGAGCTCTCAGCTGCCTGTGCCATGGCTGCCTGTAGCGTGGCAGCCTGTGCACGGCCATGCTTCTTTTCATGACGATAATGGACGAATCTCTGAAACTGTAAGCCAGCCCCAACTAAATGTTTTCCTTTATAAGAGGAAAACTTTGCTATGCTCATGGCATCTCTTCTCAGCAATAAAATCCTAACTAAGACACCTGGTGTCCTAAGAACGAACTCTTACAGACCCGTTAGAACTAGTGCTCCTCGACTTTTGGGCCTTGACTCCTTTGACAAACTTCTATCTCCAAAAAAAATGTACGTTATGATTCATAACAGTTAGCAAAATTATGGTTATGAAGTAGCAGCAGAAATCATTTTATGGATGGGGTTACTACAACATGGGGAACTGTATTTAAAAAGTCATAGCATTAAAAACGCTGAGCACCACTGCTTAAAGCAAAGCTCTAAATGGAGACAGGGTACAGACAGGACAGTGACCACCATCTCCTTGTATACTGGGAAGGACTATTCTTGGAGATGCCCCTTATCCAGAAATGTCTGTGGGACTCTTCAGACAGCCACCCAGCTCAGCCAGGAATGCTGGAACACACAATGTCTCTTAGTCTAGCTGGTGATGACAGCTGACCTTGGACCCATTGCTCTGATCCCTCTTCATAAGGGCCTTTAAAAGAACAAGTGCCACTCACGGGGGACGGGGGAGGGTGGGGGCAGAAACTCTCTGCTTCAGATCTCCACTATGCTGGTTGTCTGTCTGCCTGCTGAAGTTAATACTTCTCTTTCTGGAAGGACTCTGGCTCGGTGTCTCTCTCCTGAACTCCCTTCTCCCTCCAACCCTGGGACCCTAAGAGCTTCTTCCCATCCTAGCCAGCAGACCTCTAGTTGTGACAACTAAATATGCTTCAAGACACTGGAGTTGCAGAAAGGAGGGAGGGTATGTGACTGAGACTCTGTCTCTTAGAGGCTCCCAGGCAATTTAGATGCCAGGAGGACCTCTTACCCAGGTCCCTCACATTTTTCATGCCCAGTCATCACTGAAAAATTCTATCGTGTACTTCAGCGTGGTCACACCAACTCAGAGCAGATGCCAGGGATGATGTAGAACTCTGTCGGGTTCAACTATGTATGCTTTGTCCTTCTGACTTCCTAACCAACTGAAAGGGTTGGAGGTGGGGAAGAGAAGTAACGTTTAAGTAAGCAGCCGCCCCTTCTCACTCCTTCTTTAGAAGCTGACACTCACAGTGAGTCTAGTGGGAAAAGGAGGATGTGCTATTTCCTAAGATGGTTTTACATGATGAAACATTTTGAAATTTAAGGAGTATCTCTGTCTCTGTCTCTGTCTCTGTCTCTGTCTCTCTCTCTCTCTGTATGTATTGGGGGGCTGTATATGTACATATATATGGTGTTTTGAATGAGAATTTCCCCCACATGGGCTTATATGTTTGAGTACTTGGTCCCCAGTTAGTGAGTGGAACTATTTGGGAAGGATTAGGAGGTGTGACCTTGTTGGAAAACGCGTGTCATTGGGAGCAGGTGTTGACGTTTCAAAAAGCCTACAGCATTTCCAGTTAGCCCTCTCTGTCCTGTACTTGCCAATGAGGTGGGAACTCCCCTCCAGCCCATGCCTCTCTTGCTGCTGCCACACTCCTCGCCATGATGTCTGTGGACTCACACTCTGAAACTGTAAGCTCTCAATAAACTCTTTCTTTTATAAGTTGCCTTGCAAGTTTATTTTTTCAATCACAGCAACAGAAGTAACTAAGACAACATGTAAGTGTGTATTCATGTGTGTGTACACACATGCAGAGGCTAGAGGTTGACTTTGTGTGTTTTTCTTGATTATCCTTTACTTTATCTTTTGGGTAAAAAGTACTTTGAATGGTTTCAGAGTAAGACTCCATAAATGTTCGCTAGTAGCCTGAAAGAAAAGGTTCAGTGTGGAGGTGTCTGAAGACTAGTCCCCTCCAGCCTGCAAAGGTAATTCTGTGGGCTCTGGTCTCCTCATCGTCCTCTTCTTCAGATTTGTCTCTGTGTGACTATGTGACCTTGACAAGATTCTTGCTATGTCATCTCCTCTTAAACACTCCTGCCTGGAGGAGGGCGTGAAGTGCATGGGGAGTCCAGGGTGTTAGGAGAGTCTGGGGAGGACCCCGAGTTATAAAGTAGCACACAGCCTCTGGGGAGAGGAGATGTCTCCTTGGATCTAGAGATAAGTTGGACAGGTAGCCCCAAGGATGCAGCTGTTAGGAGTTGTGCCACTCAGGCTGGTGCAGGTGCTTTTGGGTCACTCCTGCAAGCGAATAAATAAACTCAGTAAACTCACTGCATTTCTTGGGTGGGATCTTTTCTTTGCTCACAGGTTCTCATGGGAAGTCATGTCACAGTTACTCATGGGAAGTCAGTTCCCCAGTTACTCATGGGAAGTCAGTTCCCCAGTTACTCAGAAGAGTCTGGGTTTGTTGTACAGATGTTTTGGGTGCTGTGATCAAATCCATAGTGCAAGAGACCTTCTTAGCTAATCAAGGTAGGCCTGACTCCGGGGAACGGTATAACAAACAGAACCAAGGCTCCCGAGCTCTGTGTGAATCTCCTCCCAGTAGAAACCTTTCCTCCTGTGGGGAGGATGGAGGCTTACAAGACTGGAAGTCCCATGTGTGCGGTGGCTCCAGCCTTCCAGGTGCCTGTCCTGCAGACTGCCTGCCATGTGGATGGCCTAGTCCACACGTCCTGGACTTGTTCTGCCAGGCTCTGTCACCTCATGTGCCAATTCCTTGTATTAAGTCTCAGTGTGTATCTATCCCCAGGGATATTTTTCCTGTCTTGACCCTGACAGATTACAGAGTTCAACCCTTGGCAGAGGCCGGGGACATTCAAGGCAGTTTGATTGAGAGTCAGTGCCAGGCTCCAGGCTAGTCTAGAAGGATGAGCATGCTAGGACAAAGGGGCTACGGCCACAGGGAGTGGTGAGGGAGGAAAAGGAGTGGACTCAGGGATTGCCCAGGAAGAACTAAGTCTGTGAGAAGGACATAGCAGGGCTGAGGAAGGGCTCAGTGGTTAAAGTGCTCGTGGTAGCACAAGGGTTGGAACTTGGATCCTGTATTAGTTCAGGTTTTTATTGCTTCACTAAAACACCATGACCAAAAAGCAAGTCGGGGAGGGAAAGGGTCTATTGGGCTTACACTTAAACATTGTAGTCCATCACTGAAGAAAGCCAGAGCAGGAACTCAAATAGGGCAGGAATCTAGAGGCAGGAACTGACACAGAGGCCATCAAGGGGTGCTGCCTACTGGCTTGCTCTTCATGGTTTGCTCAGTTTGTTTTCTTATAAGACCCAGGACCATCAGCCCAGGGAAAGCCCCACCTCCAGTGGGCAGGGCCCTTCTTCATCAATCATTAATTAAGAATGTGCCCAGCACACTAGCCTGCAGCCTGATCTTACAGAGACATTTTCTTAACTGAGGTTCTCTTCTTTCAGGTGACTTTAGCTTATGTTAACTTGACATAAAACTACCTATCAAACCCCGAGATGTCCAGGACCTATCTAGACCCTGGGTAGGCATGGAGGTTCACCTGTAATTCCAGGCTCAGAAGGCAGAGGGGCACAGGATCCCCAGAGCAGGCTGGCCCGTGGGAATATTGATATTGGCAAGCTTTGGGTTAGAGTGAGAGGTCCTGCTTCCACGAACAAGGAGGAAGAATGATTGAGGATAAACCTCAGACGTCCTTGTTCGATCTAGGATGATGTCTGACATCAGTCGTCTCCATTCCATACACACACACACACACACACACATGAATATATAGCCTCCACGCCCCTACAGATGCAAACATGCATACACACACATGCTCAACACACACACACACACACACACACACACACACACACACACACACATACACACACTTGACAGAACTTGGACAGCTGGACCTGTAGGCTTCCCTTGACATAACTCCATGGAAGAGGCCTCTTGGCTTCTGCACTCCATTTCCCTCTGTTTCCATCACACTCTCAGAATACCTCAGTTTTTCTTTATAGCAGTTATGCATTTATTTGTGTGAGTCATGCCTGTGTCATCACTGGAGTCCAGCTGCTGGGAGGCAGGGATGGACTTGGCACTGTAGGAATTCAGTCTTTATCTGTGGGACAAAGGAATGACCATCAGGCCTCCATGACCTGCCTCAGTGCTGAAGGAGGAGGCCCATGTTTCGGGTTTTCTCTTAATGTTCTTGGGGTGGCTGTGGGGAAACAGAAGGTTTGGAAGCAAGGGAGCTGGGTGGGTGCTAGACCCAAGAGCTGATCTTCATACAACTCTTAGGATCCCAGGAAGTGGGGGGGCTGTGGGCTGAGGAGTCATGGCCAAGGTGATAATAATGTAAGACATGGGATCCAGCCTCATGTCCATCAAAGCCACCTTCTGGCTAACACTCTGAGCCTTCCTCACCCATCTGGCCCTTAGCGTCTCCATCTGTGGCATGAGGTTAAGTGAGAAGATTCCCAAAGATTCTTTTAACATAGGAGATTGGTGAGATTAGAAAGTAGAATTACAAGTTCAAGGGCCATGGGAAACATAACTGAAGTCAGAATTCAAATCCAACTCTTTTCTGTAAGCTGAGACGGGTAAGGAGATCTACTTTGCTTGTTTCCCAGGCAGGAAAACCCTCTGCCAACTTAACTACAAACTCTTAGCATGCACACGTCATAACACCTTCCTTTAAATGGACTCATGCCATTACAGTTCAATGATGTTTAGAACCAAATAGGGTGTAGGGACACTTGGCAGTTCCTCCAGGTCGACAGCAAGGACTGAGTGCTCCCTGGACCCAGAGGGGACTCAATTAAAAATCTGGGCTGATCTGTGCCTTGTTGTGTGGCAGATAGGCTGGAGCGGGGACAGGGTTCCCTTGAGCTAAGAGGGCTGATGTTGCTGGAATTCCTTTGAATGTGTCCATGTCACCTCTCCACTGAACTGTCCCTTCTGGAGAGTCAGGGCTGTGCTACAACCACCTTGCACATCATCAGTGGGGCAGGGCTTCAGCTTGGAGCCACACGAGCACTTACTAGTGAGAAGTCTTCAACTGCTTTCTTAAGTTCCTTGGACCTGTATAAAGTGGAGATTGATGGGAGGAGTCAATGAGGCTGGAGCAGTCCAGAGCTGGTGGCCCAAGAAAGACTGTAGTAAGCTCTGCCAGTGTCAGAGGAGGAGGCTGACACCTATCTGGAGCTGGGTGGGTGGCCCAAGAGAAGGGACCGCCACCTGCTCCTTGGTGTACAGTCTTAGCAACAGCACTGTTTGTCCCTTTCCCGGGGGAACGGGCTCCTGTCTGTGCCAGGGAAAGGTCTGGGGTGAGGGGCCAGGGCGACTCACTCTGAAAGTCTGCGGAGCCCAGGATGAGAACCTCTCCACCCCTTATTTTGCTCATGTGTGTGTTACCTTGAGCCACGCCTTCACAGCATGGTGGTGGCCCCAGTGACACCTTCACGCTTCATGGGTGCGTCAGAATCAAGAGGGCAGTCACCCTTATCCTGCAAGAGAGGAATCACTGTCCCCATTGATCTAGTACAGGATATAACCAGCTCTTTACAAAGTGTGTCGTGGCAGGGTTCCTTTTGAAGTCTCCACGTCCACATGAGGCTTGGTGAGGGAACCCCTAGAGGCCTGTGTGTGACCGTCTCCTCAACATTGATCAAGAAAGATCCACAGGGGTTAGTTGGTGGAGTTTGAGTTCTAGTTCCACCTCCAGTGTCCTGTTGACTGTGGGCAACTTGCTGGGGTTCCCACGGTGAGCTGGTGTGCACCAGCTTCAAGAGGTGGAGTGCTTTCTCAGAGCCTCGGTTTAACTGTGTGCTGGGAAGTATCACTATGGCTCATTACTATATAATTATACTCAGATTAATTCAGTGTTCCACAGAGGACCCAACATCTAGGCGTCCAGTCTATGATCCCTGCCTGCTGCCTGTCCATTCTGAGCTCTCTGCTGCCTGACGTGCCCGGGTCCTGAGGGTTTGTCTTCAGGAAGGCCTCACCTCTGCACACAGGTGCTTCATCCTGCAGATTGTGATGGCTGTGGGCCCTGCTAGGAAGATTTCCAGGCAGGTGAAGCAGAACAGGGCAAGCTCCAGTCTCTGGATGTAGGCCTGCGGGGAGCGGAGGGAAGACAGGACAGGGCTTCCTGCCTGTCACCTGGGTCTGGCAGGCAGGTCTGCAGCAGAAGCAGCAGGGCCTCTGCTCCCCCGGGAGGGTAGGGAGGGACTCTGAGGGACTGGGGTGGTTTCTATCATGCCCCATGCCTAGTGCCTAGCACATAGGAGGCCAGGGTGACTGTTTCCTGAATTGTGAGGACCAGAGAGATTCTCAAGTCCGTGGGAGAACTGGAAGTGGCCCTAAGGTTCATCTGGACAACTCTGCTCAGCTGAATGGAGTTGCTTAGGCCCAGAGCTTTATAGCAGGGTGGGGGAAGGGTGAGCTGGGAGCCACTTTGGGGCGGAGTTACTGACATTCATTAGGGAAGCTTGTGTGTCACCCTGGAACATGGCTGAGAGGCACCTGACTTAGAGAGGCAGTGCTTCCAACTGTTGTAGAAGCAGCTGTGGTGCCATGACAGGGCCCTGGGCCCTCTTGTTTCACACAGGTTTTAAGTCTTCATTGTACACCGGACTTGCTGGGTGGCCTTTGGCCACTAAATTTATCCATCCGTTCTGAACCTCAGCATTCACTCCCATAAAATGGGGGGGGGGTGTAACAAAGTGGATTCAGCCAGCTCTTCAAGGGGAGGAGGTGCCTTAGATGTGGGGTTAGCTGTCCTAGGGTCTGGTCTTGCAGTCAGTTTGCTACTCAGCACCAGACAGGACATTCTCCTTCTCTGGGTGTAAATGTAACTTTCATTCCACAGATGTAATTGTCATCTTGGAGGCTTACTCCTGAATGAGATCACCCTTTCTAGTTCTTTTCTGAACTCTTCCTGGTTGGTTCAACTCAGCTGTTCTGGCTGAAACTCCTCTCCAAGCTGACCAATTCAAACTGGCTTCTCTCAGCTTCTGACTGAATTGCTCTGCTTGGCCTCAAAGTAACTCTACCAATCTGTTCTAATCTTCTGGCTTCTTCTCATGCTTTGGCTTGTCTGTCTTCACCTGTGTCTAGACTGTTCTCTATACAGTCTCTGTAAAACTGTCCCAGTAAAACTGCCCACTCCCCCTTTCTGTGATGCTCTCTTTTCTCATTGGAGTTGGGCATGTCCTATCTCTAACTCATTCTGTCAATCTTTCTCTGATTTGTCACTTTGTCCCTCAATTAGAAATCAATTTCAAATACTGGTGCTTCCTTCTACAAACTAATTTTACCTTTATTGTTTGGGACTAAAGGTACGTGCTATGGGAATGTCTGTATCCCAGTCAGAGGGATTAAAGATGTGTGATTAGCTGCATTCTAGCTGGATCACACAGACCTAGAAGGTCTTTGGTGTGATCAGAGCAGCCATGTTGCTAGATTAAAATTCCTTTACACCTGGGCCTCAATTTTCCTGTGTGTAAGAGGACTGGCCATGGTGACTTGAAGCACAGTCCAGTTTCCTGATGTTGACTCATTAAAAGGCCATCCATGCTCCTTCTGCTATGCCTTTGGAGGGATGTGTATAGATTGCCAGTGCCTGGTTCCAGGGCAGGTTTTCTGAGCACCGAGTGCTTCTTCTCGGTCAAGCTCAAGGGAGTTCCTTCCTTGGAATCAGAGGGCTCAAGAGGGGCGGGGAACTCACTGTGGGGTTGGGGTATGGTCTCCAGATTGGCCATAGAAAAGGGCTCTCCAGAAAGAGGTCCTTGGCAATGAGATAGAAGCCAGCCAGTGCACACAACAAGCTGACGATGTTTGCTGTCACAGAGAGTATCTTCTGCAAGTAGAGATGAAATGTTAGAGCTGGTCTCCAAGCTTAGAAATACAACTCAAGGCTCTCCTTCCAGGAACTTGGTCTGTGACAGCCTCACCCCCACCTGGAGTCTCTGCCTGTCTTTGATCTCGAAGCTGCTAACTTGGACACACTGGGCTCCTGATCACTGGAAGGCACTGGCATGCTCATCCTCTATAGGACACGCTGGCAGGACCTAAGAGCCAATGCCAGGTGCCCGGCTCACAATAAAGAAAGGTGCATCACGACACACTCCCCAGGGACCATCCTCCTTCAGTTTCATCAACTTTCAGAGAACCCACAGGGAAGATCAAGAAGAGCCTGAAGGGGTTCTGCTCCTCATACCCCAGGGTTTTGCCTCCTCCCCATCTGTCTGGCAGGGTCCTGAAACAGGCCCCTATCCTGTCAGCCAGGTCTCTGCCAGGTATCTTTTGCCTCTGCTGCATCACATGCCCATTCTCTATGCTCCTCAAGAAGCTCAAGGACATGGTAAGACTTACACTCCAGAACAAACCCTTGGGGCTGCTGTGAGGAGAAAGTGTGGGAGGACTCCTCCAGATCAGATGGATGGGATACATGTGAGCTGAGAGAGGGTGTGGGCTGGAGAAGGTGGTAACTGAGGGGTATGTAGAAGCAGCCACAGGACTTGGAGGGGAGGAATGCAGAGCCAGGTGGTCCTCAGGCTGATGGCTTAGGGGCTTGAATGACCATATACTGAATGAAGTAAAAAATTGCTAGATTTGTTCTGAGGAGCAGGCAGTTAAGTTTTGTGAGGGGAGGAGGCATCATATCTCAGTGGTGTAGGCACTGGTAGGTTATCCTTGCTCAAGTAAATAACTCCCACCCATGCTCATGTAGGTGACACCAATTAAAACGCAATGGATCACAAACCCCGAAACAAAACAGAAAACAAAGAAAAGACATGAAAAAAAGAGGGGGACTTGAGTATTGCAGGGAGAAAGAAAAGGTTTGGTGGGAGGGGAAAGGCATAAGAGAAGATGAAATGGCAGCAGGGATATGATCAAAGTTCAAAATACATATGCATGGAATTATGAAAGAATAAATAAATGAATAATAAATAGACTTGGTAGATTTGGAAGGAAGCTGTGATGCCTAATCTTTACTACTAGCTTGAGTGTTAGAATCAGCTAGAAGACACACCCCTGGGCATGCCTGTGGAGGTATCCCAGAGAGGTTCAACTGATGAGGGAAGACACACCCTAAAGGTGGGTAGCATCAGCCTCTTGTTGGGGGAGGGGCGCCCGGATGGAATGATAAAAAGGAGTCTGATGAGCACCAGCATTCATCTCTGCTTTCTGGTCCGCTCAGGTGCGAGCAAGCAGCCTCCTGCTCTGACTGCCATGTCTTCCTCACCACACTGTACCCTCCTAAGCTGTAAGCCACTTTCTGTCAGGGGTCTTATCACAGCAAAGAGAAACGCAATCAATAAAGAAGCCAAGGTCTGTTCTAGGTGGAAGGGAGGGTGCCTGGAGCCGTTCCCGGGAGGGCAGGAACTCCCGGTGGGGCCTTCCTTTTTTTCCCTGTCAAATCTAGCCAGTTGTTTGCCCCTGGAACTCCTCAGATGCTTTCTTCTATCCTGAAAATGCACTCTTGCTCCCAGCCACTCCTGGGGCTCCCTTGCACACAGATACAGGGGAGAGATGGATCTCAAGTTGCCAACTCACCAGAGAGGTCTTGGAGGGAAATGTCCTTGTTGTCATGGCCATGATCCCTGAAATGAGAAACTGCAGGCCAGGTTTGGAGGTCAAAAGAGAGAAGTTGAGGTACCTTGAGACCACAAAGTCCCCTTTATTCTCTAAGAAAACAAATCCTTGTTGGCCGGTGGGGCAGAGAACACCACTGCTTGGACAGAGCAAGCCCTCTCCAGCCTCTGCACCTCAGTGTGTTTACCCATGGAGGACACAAACCTCCAGATCTCGTGTGGGTCACAGTACCACCCCCCCAACCTTTCTTCTGCCCAAGAGAGGGCATTGCTTTTGGCACTGTGATGTAGGGTGTTTCTGATCTATCTTTCATATGTATGCTGAGTCCTTGCTCTGTTCCCATCCTGAGGAGCATGAGATAATGGGCGTCTCATGTTTAGAAAGCCCTGCCGTTGTGGTGGGAGCGCCAAGCTGGGGCAGTGGGAACAGAGGACTGGGGTGAAGCTGGGGATTGTGGGGAGAGGCGTGAAGACATTTGCCCAAGAGGACACTATGGCGCTGGGGCTAAGTGTGAAGGCAGTTTTCGGGGCCCAGACAGTGCCCTGGAGTCCTGGAGGAACATGGATCCTCCGGGGAATGGTGAGTGTGTGAATCCCATACCATCTCTCTTCCTGGCTGATGGCCTGCAGAGGACAGGAGTTGTGGGTTACAACTGTGTATTATTTGTAGACAGCCTGATAGCAATGGAAAGCCCTAGGGTTGCTTTGGCTATAAAGCCCTATGAACCTACCTCATATTGGCTCTTCTCCTTGCCCAACATACATGCTCAATTAAAGGAGGGTCCACAGGGCCCAGGAGTGACAGGTTCTCCGAGGAAGGAGCTATGGATAGTGTGACTGAAGGAATGGAGCAGAAGGAGGGAAGATGGAGGCAGGATGGGTTTGTACTTTGTGCCTCTTGGTTGCACCTAGCCTCCAGTGCCAGGGCCTCCCAGGGTCCCTGTGTAGCCCTGTGCCCACTGATTTGGGCTCCTACTCACAGAGACAGCTCCCCAGAATGGATACCAGCACTTCAGCACCACCAAGTGCAGATTCTTGACTGTGGAGAGCAGGTAACCGCCAAGGGCCAGGTGCACAAAAGCAATGGTGATGTGAAAGCCCTGGGTGGGAAGCCAGAAGTAGCGAGGTGAGGTGGCAGGTGGCTGGCCCTACATGGCTCCAGTGCTGGGATCTAGTGGTGGGCGTGAGCTCCTTTCTCTACCTCTCAGGGGCACTGGTCCTCCAGGAGGGACCCCCTTCTCCAAGGCCTTCTGTAGGGACAGGTAAGGATGTCAAAACTCTACTTGGGACATCCATCCTGACTCTGCATTGCTGGCTTCCTGGGCCCTGTTCACACCCCACAAAGCACCAGCCTCCCCTTGCATTTGTTTCAGTTTTAGGATGAGAGGAGCTGGATGATCCCCCCTCATCCTCCTCCCTGGGGTCACCTCCCTACTCACAGTCAACTTCTGAAGAAGGTCACGTCCCTCCAGGAGCTTCTCAAGGTGTCCATCTGGAACCAGATGCTGGGGTTGGGCCACTTTCTGCATGGGCTGGGCAGGTCCTAGGTCCTGACACTGAGGGACTTCCCCAGAGCCAATAGTGGTGGGAGCTTGTAGCGCCATTGCCTTTGGCAGGGTACCCTGGCTGTGGACCAAGAAGAAGGCCTTGTCAGAGCTCACGTATCTGAGACTTGGATGCAACTCTTGATGTCACTTCTGCCTGTCTTGGACAGCAGTAGCCTTGTCTAACTTTTGATCTTGATTTTTTTTTCAGATGGTAAAGCAAGGCTTTTATTAGGGGTGAGAAAACACACACACACACACACACACACACAGAGAGAGAGAGAGAGAGAGAGAGAGAGAGAGAGAGAGAGAGAGAGAACCAGCACACACACAGAGAAAGACCCTCTGCAAAGCTGAGTGGGGTTTCAGAGAGTAGAAACCCACTGACTTTGATTTAAATAATCTAGAACCCGGGAATGGGGCCTAGTTGCTGTTCTCAGCCTCTCTGGGGTTGCAGGGAAATGAAGACCAGATGAACTCACACCCAGTACAAGAGGGAGCTCCTGTTGGCTACCCTGAAGGTCAGCAGGAAGAGTTAGGAGGCCTGGCTCATGTGAGCATTTTGTAAACAGTCCCTAGCCTGTGGCTTAGAATGAGACAACGGAAGGTGATAGGAACCATGATCCTGTGGGAATTTCCACAGGGTTTGGGGAGATGGGGGAGAGAAAAAGAGGAGACTTCTAACCAGGGCTTACTCTGAGCCCACATGGAGCCAGTGAATAAGTCTGTATCAGGGTCCACGACACCAACACTCTTGAGTCCTTTTCTATCCCAACTGTTCCAAGCACTGATAACAAACTTTTTTTAAAAATTTTTTGTTTCTTTTGTTGTTGTTGTTGTTCTGTTTTTGTTTTTTGAGACAGGGTTTCTCTGTGTAACAGATCCCTGATGATGCTGGACTCACTTTGTAGATCAGGCTGGCCTTGAACTTACAGAGATCTGCCTGCTTCTCCCTCCCGAGTGCTGGGAGTAAAAGTGTGCACCACCTAGCCTGGCTGATACACACATTTTATAGGCATCATCTTATGGTATCCGCACCCCAGCCCTATGAGGGAAATACTGTTTTCACTCCCGTTTTGCAGATGAGGCTCAGAGAAGTTCACCCACACGCCTAAGGTTTCGCAGTCAAAAATAGGACTGGAAGCATGGTAGGCTGGCCCAGAGCCCGTGGGCTTAAAGCTTCCATTGTGGCCATCTGCCTGCTGTGTCCTGAGATGACAGGTATGTGACGTTTATGTGGGTTCTGGGAGTGTGAACAGTGGTCCCCAGCTTGCTGCTTTTGTGATGAGAGATTTGACACCCACTGAACCATCAGGCCGGCTTCTCTGTCAGATTCTTTGTCCTGGAAAAAGGGGGTGAGATACCCCTGGAAGTCTGACTTGTGGACTCAGAAGACCTCTTTGAATATAGAAGAATTTCTGTGTTCCTTCCACGGAGGTGTGGGGACAGCTTAGTTTCCACAGAGGGGGAAGGAGCCAGGGAGGTTGGTGCGGACACCACAGGTCAGGAGGAAAGTGAGGGTCTGGGCGGCCTGTGATGCCAGAACCATTAGAGGGGTCTTGTAGGCTAACCTCTCTCAGTCTCCCGGACATCAACACCATTACATAGAAGAGGAGACCAAGGTTCAGAAAGGTCCAGTGCCTGGGCTGTAGTCACATGGTAAGGAAGTGCCTAGGATTGAAGCTACTCATGGCCTGACTCCATCACCTATGTTCTTGGCCTGGGCTGCTGGTGAGGGGCCCTGGTTGATAGTTTCATTAACCTGCAGTGATGGCTCGTGGTTTAGTGGGGAATGCTGGGGGTTTAGTGGACATTTTCTTCCGTGGGCTTTAGAAGCTAAACCCGGAGATGGCTGCGTGGCCCTTTTTCTGTGAGCTAGCTGGGGAGTGTTTGGCATCGATTCAATTGTGTGGCTTTCCCCAGGCCTTTCTGATGCGGCTGTGACTTCAGGTGAAGCTTCTTGGGAAGAGAGCTAGGATGAGCTGGGTTGTCCAGTGGTGGTGACCATCTGGGCACTGGGGATGGAAATGTTTCCACCGGGGCTCTTGCTTGTGTGAACTGTGGCAGTGGAAATGGTTCAGGTAGCCAAGAAGGAGTTGGACTCAAGAAGACGAAGTATCCTTTCCCAAAGTACTTCCCGTGGAACCCTGGTCGGTCCTAAAGTACCTACCTTAAAAGGGTTCCCTGGCTAAATAGGTTTAGGAAACCTTACACATCACCTTCTTCTCACTTTTTCAAAGCTCTGAGGACTCCTGTGGGGGGGCATGCTCTGTTTTAATACTAAGGACGTCTCCTACATCTAATTTGCCCTGGACTCCTCTTCCCAAGGGTCCAGCCATACTTTGCAATTTATATTCTGTAGGGCCTGGTTTGGGTTAAAGGACAAACGTCCAAACCTTTGGTTCTGGGAATCTTTTGGGTGTCTGTTTCCTCTTGTTGGTGTCCTTATAATGGGTGCATTATAGTGAGGCTGGGGATTAGTTCTGATCTCAAGGCTTATTTCCAGCTTGAAATGAGAATGGAGAGCTGCTAAAAGGAATATGGCATACTCTTAAAGGGGAGGGGCCCAAGGGGGCAGTCTTTAGACACCAGAGGGAAAGGGGTGCGGGCTATAAAGTCCCTTGACGCTTTGCAACATGAAGGGCATGATGGCAGTAGGCTGTTGCAAGCGGTGTCCTTTTACCTTTCTGTGTCCTTTTCCGGTGTTTATTTACAGGCTCCAGCCTTAACTCTCATTCCAGAGACCTTAAGATAGCGGCCTGGCCATCAGGAAGTTGTCATCATTGGTCTGCAAAACACTGGCTGCTGACTTGAGCTGTGTCCTCAAGATAGGGGCCACACAACTAGGAGATCAGTTACAGTTCTGAAAGAACGCGGGCTTCTGACTTCTACACAATGCTCCCAATCTGATCCTCTTGTAAAATTCCCCACTTGCCTAGATGTGAACATGAGACGTTGGCCTGCACCCTTTCCCAGGTGTGCTAGTCACTGTTCTATTGCTGTGAAAAGACACCATGACCCAGGTACTCATGAACAAAAGCATTTGATTAGAGGCCTGTTTACAGTTTTAGAGGTTAGCTCATCATGGCGGGAAGCATGGCAGCATGGTGGCATGCATGGTGTTGGTGAAGTAGCTGAGAGCTTTACAGCCTGATTCATAGGCAGAGAGAGAGAGGGGAGAGAGAGAGAGAGAGAGAAGCTAGACTTGGTATGGGCTTTTAAAACCTCAAAGCCCATCTCCAGTGACACACTTCCTCCAAAAGGCCACACCTCGTATTCCTTCTAATCCTTTCAAATAGTGCCACTCTCTGGCAGCTAAGCATTCAAATATATGAGCTTATTGGGGGCGAAATATATGAGCTTATTCAAACCACCACACCAGGCTGTAGCCTTCTCAATAGTGCTTCGTCCCCTCCTGCCAAGCCTGCCTCTCCTAGGCATAGGTTTTTCTAGAAGTCCATCTTTTAAAGCTGTTGTTGGTAACAAACCTCTAGAATGCTGTGCCCCACGGCCTTATCCACCTTGCCTCCAGGACTGTGCAGACTGCCTTGGCATGACTGGCAGGATGGGAGGGAGAATTTCTTTACTTGTCCCCTTTCCCCAGCTCCCCAGCCAGCTGAGGACCCACAGACCCAGCTGTTTGGTATCTTAGGGAACACTAAGGTCTTGGTGATTTATATTCAGCCTTGGACTTTCTGGATCCTGCAAATATCCCCCTTTACCTTAGGCTCTGGGAGGCAGAGACAGAGCTAGGAGGATCCCACAACACTTCAGGGGCCTGAACATGTGTCTTCCACGAGGGTGGGCTGTAAGGATTAATTGGGCCAGGTGCAGAGGTTGGAATCTAGTACTAAAATCGAGGGACACCACCAACCTGTCCTGCACCTAGAAGCTCCCTTGACCTTTGTCTGGCTCTCTGTTAAGACAGATTCCATTCTAATCGCCGGGAGTGAGAAGTTCATTGCCACCACCTGACGCCTGCTCAGAGCAGGGAGAGGAGTCGGCTAAGAGCTCCTGCTAGCTGGGCAGGTTGTGGAGAGGGCAGTGTGTGGAGATAGTGCCCCGGGAGCCCTCGCTTGACCTCTGGGACCTTGGTCTGCAAAGCAATGAGCTGGGCAGCAGGGAACATGTGATAGGACAGGCAAGATCTGTCCACGGGAGGACTGGGTTAGGAGGCTGAGAAAACCTTGATGTGACTGTACCCCTGATCAGAGGGTACAGAAGTGTGGATGTGTGTACTGGTATGTCAGGCAGAGAAAGGCAGGGACTACCAGGCCTGGAATCATGTCGTGTAACGGAGTGCCTGCTGGCAGCCACCCTTAGAAGATGCAGTTTTTAGTTATGTTTGTTTAGGAGGCACCCAGGCAGGCATGAGCAAGGAACCTTTCTCTGGGCCTCAGGGTTAGGCACTTGGTGTAAAGGGAGGTTCACAGGAAACAGAAAGGAGAAAGAAACACAAGCCTCTTCCTTTCTGCTTTTTCAAATCTGTCTCTTTGCGTGCTCAAGGTCCCAGGGTTAGATGGGGAGGGGTGACGTTCCTCTCAGCTCTCAGGATCACCAGCTGGTAGTGGGATGGGCTCCAGGTAGCAGATTTCTCCATGGAGAGAGGCTGATAGTAACTTCCCAGGGCTCCAGAGCACGGAACATCTGTTCCCCAGCTGTTGCCACTGGTAAACAGTTCCTGCTCCCTTCTAGAGGGTCAAGTTTCAGCCACTCACCGCCAGCTTGCAGCTACGGACTGACTGGCACAAGAGGCTCATCTCTGTCAAGGTTGAACCCCACAACCTGGAGGCCCCACTGACCCTCCCTTGCTGTGTTCTGCTGTGGAGAGGGGGATACTCACTTGGCCCAGGGGCCTCCGCTGTGGGCTTCAGCTGCGCCTTACCATCAGAGCTGCCTCAGCACAGAGCTAGAAGTGGAAATCAGAACATCTTTATGGCTTTAGACTTTGGCTCTTTTCCTTCATGGGCCTGCCCCTTGCTCTCTCCCTCAGCTGTTTAAGGCTGCATGTATGGATTAGATCCTTCAAAACCATCCCACTTCCAGACCCAAGCAGGTCTGGATCCTTCCTTAGTCTCCCTTCAACTGCTGAGACAGTTAATGTTGCAATCTTGACGGTTCAGACAACTTGTGGAGCAGGACTGATGGAAGGCATTTGTCATATTGGTGGAATCACATGATTGATTGGATTATTAAAATTTTCAAATTTTTTTTATGTGTGTGTGTGTGTGCATTGTAGGTCAGAAGACAACTTTGTCAAATTTGTTCTTCCCACCCTAACCTGGGTGCCGAGGATTGAACTGATATTGCCAGATTGTGCAGTTTTCACTTATGTTACTTTAGCTTCTGAGCCATCTTGTTAGCCCCTTTAAGAATCCTTCAAAATAGTCCAAGTACCCACAATAGTAGAGATTAGCACAAATGACCCCCTTTCCCATCTCTCTTCCAAAGCTAGCCAGGGCTATCCTTAGTTCTTGGTTGACCGTGATCTCTGATGGCAAGCAAGACTCTTGCCACCAGAGACATACTGTCACCTTGGTTAGTGTTTATCTTGAAAAGACATGGGTTTAAAAGTTAAAGTCATGTGACCACAAGTAACTGGAAGCCCTGAGAGTGAAGTCCAACTGCCTCCAAGCGTGCAGCCCGTGTGACTCAAAGAAGGGACTCACCCATCGAGGACATGTGTGGGTCTTGGCATGGACATGGTAAGACAGTCAATGTGTAGCTCCAAGCTGTCCAATTTGTGTGGATTTGTGTGTGTGTGCATATCCCTTCATCTGTGCATGTGTGTTTATGGTGTATGTTTGTGTGTATGTGTGAGCATGTACACATGAACATGTTGAAGCCAGAGGTCAAGGTTGGTTGTTGTCGTCAATTATTCTCCATCTTACTTTTCTTTTCTGTCTTTTTAAAAATTTTTGGGTTTTTTTTTGGGACAAAGTATCTCTGTGTAGCCTTGGCTATCCTGGAACTCACTCTGTAGGCCAGGCTGGCCTAGAACTCACAGAGATCCGTCGGCCTCGGCCTCCCGAGTGCTGGGCTTAAAGGCATGCACCACCACCCACCTACTTTTCTTTGTGTGTGTGTGTGCGTTCAAGAAAGATTGTTTTATTGATGATGCCCCAAAGAGGAATTAACCTAGTTATCCAACAACGGTTAAATCAATGAAAGTGATAGAATAAAACAAAATGTTTACAGTATTAAAATAATAAAATGAAAGTATAAGATGTTGTGGGATGGCGGTGGCATGTCCTTAATCCTAGCACTCAGGAGCCAGAGGCAGGTGGATCTCTGTGAGTTCGAGGCCAGTCTGCTTTACAAAGTGAGTTCCAGTAAGCCAGGGTTACACAGAGAAACCCTGTCTTGACAAAATAACAACAAAAAGCTACAACAAGGGAGTGGGATACAGCTGGGATACAGAGTTAAAAAAATGTAACTAATAAGAAAAATAAAAAAATTAAAAAAAAGCTATTGAAATTCCAAAAAAAAAAAAAAAAAAAACCCAAACCCCTACAACAACCACAACAAAACAAAACAAAAAAAAACCCAAACCAAAACCCAACAACAAAAAAGAAAATATAAGGTCCTACAGATAAATCTCTAACATATTTTATTCAGTAAAAGGAGACAGACAAAAAGACACACACACATATATACATACATATACAATATAACTCTATTTGCGTGACAATAAAGAACAGGCAAGGCTAGTGATGTTTAAAGAAAAAAACAAGAATCCACCTTTTAAAAATACTTTTTAAGGGCTGGATAGATGGCTTAGCAGTTTAAGAGCACTGGCTGTTCTTCCAAAGGTCCTGAGTTCAATTCCCAGCAACCACATGGTGGCTCACAACCATCTATAATGAGATCTGGTGCCCTCTGCTGGCACGCAGGCACACATGCAGACAGAACATTGTATAGATAATAAACAAGTAGATCTTAAAAAAAAAGTAAATTAAAAAAAAACCTTTTTACCTTACTGGGCAGAACTGATTCATTGTGGGAATAAGCCAAGGGTTTCCTTGTGCAACCCCCTTTGATTATTAAGTACAGTCTCAACAACTGTGGAATGACCAAATAGGGAGCTAAGTAAGAGCCCCTGGGTGATAGTGAGGTGCCACCCTCCTTGTCAGCAAGCAGAAACAGCCGGACAGCAGTGGTCAGCTGAGGGAAGTGAAGCATTGGGATGTGATGAGGAGCAGAAGGGTACCAGAGTGAGGCCCCATAAACGAATCCTAGTTTAGCTTTAGCAAAAACAGAGATATCGGAAATGCATGCATCACCTTTTTGTCTTTCGCCATGTAATGCTTTTTGCCACCTTTAGACTCTGCCAGAGGGCCACCACCATAGGTGACCTTTGACCTTCAGTCTCCAGAATGGTGAGGTGAATAAATCTCCGGCCTTTAGGTTAAAAGTTATAATCCTTGGACATTTGATAATAGATTGCTGCAGCGTCCTTTGTAAAGATGGAGCTCCCTGAGGTGTGCATGCTGGGATTCTTCAACAGAAACTATTGAAGAGACACTGACACAAGTTCTTCGATTATTTGGACCTAGTTTTCTCTTGGATTTCTATCCAGAACCTTTGTTCATTGTCCCGAAACAGACATGCCCATTGCCAGATGGCGTTTTGAGATCTCTTATTCAAATGTGTCTCAGCATAACCTTGGTTGCAGTTATTGTAGATTCTGAGTCCTCAATCTAGATATGAGGAAGCTGGAAGGGAATTATGGGAGATTACTTCACGGAATACTGGGAAAGGCGCAAAGCTAATGATGTAATGAGCATCCAGGTAGGTCAGAACACAGGCATCCAACTGTGAAACAGTGGGAGCCTGGGCAAATCTGCTAAGACTTTGACCTGCTTGGTTAGAATTCGGGATTAATGTCAGAGTCTGGTGAGCGAGCATGTAAGTTCTGCGCGTTATGCAATGTCATCATGCATTCACATACTGACTGTGTTTGAAAAGTGCTACACGCTAAGTTCAAGCTTCCTAAGGCTTCCTTGGCTCTTCCTCTTGCCCATCTTGCTTTTCAAACCAGTGTTTCTCACTGAACCCGGAGCTCACGGATTCAGGTAGATTTGCTGGCCATGCAAGCCCAGGGCTCCTCCTATCTTTGCCTCTGCAGTGCTAGATTACAGACATGTGTCACTGTGCCCAGCTTCCTATGTGCATGCCAAGCAACCAGATTCAGGTCCTTAACCACTGAGCCACCTCCTCCGACGCCACTTAAGTCAGTTTTCATATATGTAGTTGCCCATGTGATCATCATGGAAGTCAAGGCACGGAGATGTCCCTGGCTGCAAGAAGTTACTTCCTGCTTGCTCTTGGGGGTGGGGTGGGGGCCATGCCGAACCTCTGCTTAACCATGGACAGCCCTCAGAAGACCCAAGCTTAAACAGCAAAAGCCACCACACCGAGACCAACCTAAAAATCTAAGCCATGCTGTTTATTTTTCCCCAGAGTACGGATGAAACAAGCCACATGCCAGGGCCTATGAACACCGGGCTGAAGGTGTCTCTTTATTTTTATGGGGACCCAAACCTGTTCTCATGGTAACTCTCAGGGGTACTCTTGTTTTTCAGGCAGGTGTAGGGTATGGCGTGCTGAAAGGTATAGGAGGGTCAGCGAGGCCACTTTCCCTGTGCCCCTATCGATGATGAACTGGGTGCAAGAGCTGGCTCAGTTGCCTCTGCAGCCCCTTTGTCCTGCTAGGTGGGCAGGGCCAGAGTCATGACGAATCTCCTATGACAAATAAAGAAAAGGGCAATGTCTGGCTTAGGTCCAAGGATACCAGGGAGCCAAGGGGTGTTGGATTGGCTTAATGTTATCTAGTTTATTTAACACTTTAGTTTCCAGGTGGGAAAAAGATGTAACAGCAGATGACAAAGGACAGAGCTGGTCTTGGGGGCCAGGAGCCTAGAGGTCAGGTCCACTGCCTTGCCGTGTGGTAGGGCCAGAGCTCTGTGCCCCTGAAACGCCAGTCTGTTCTGGCACATTCTGAGTTCTCTGTGCTTGATGACCGCCTTGAAGGCAAACCCGTGAAACCTCTGTGAAGCCAAGATTTCTCACGATGAGTAGAGGACAGGGCAGAGGAGCCCAGAGGACACGTACGTCAGTCAGGTGACAGGGCTAGGGGTGGGGTGGTGCTTAGGGACACACACCCTGGACACCAGGACACGTCTTTTCCGGAAAGACACTACTGGAGGAAATGGGAAACGGATGGGACGGTGACACGGTGCGTGTGGCTTTTCCTCGTTGAGGAAAGCCGGCCTGAGAACCAACAAGGTGAGGATGGAGACGCTGGGTCGAGTGAGCCTGGACTCCAACCTGCAGAAGCTGCAACGTACTACTCCGAGGATTCCTTGGGCACATACGCGACATTGTCATAGGCAGGGGGCGGAGACACTGCTGGGCTGGGGATGCTGAAATCCGTGCCGAAGGCGTTGGGTAGGAAAATCACAGACTGCAAAGAAACAAAAACAAACCCATATCCCGGGAGGCTCTGCGGTCTTCCGCGAGTGTTGCAATAGTGCCCCCCTGTGGGCACTCGGAAAACAGCGCCTTAGAACGGAAACATTTTCTAGGGTTGTAATCCAGGACTTGGACACATGCAGCCAGCAAAGTAGACAAAACCTCATATTGTTTTAGGGGCTAGTCGGCTGCTGTTTCCTCTCTGGACAGTCCTTGTTGAGTTCGGGGCTTCTATAGCTCTTGCCTGAACACTGCACTGGTCCCTTCCAAAACCATTAGCCATTCACTGGGCGCCTTGAATCTAGTTCATGCCGCTGCTCCAACCTTTAAAAGGCACCCGCCAGCCCTTGGCTGCATTTTCCTGCTCAGGCAAGCCTTTGTGCTCTCAGTACCCCCTCTTCCCACCCTTTTTGTCGCCCCCCTCCCGCCTCTGCCCACTTTTCCCCAGAAAAAATGAGCTTAACTTCCACCGAGGCATGCTGCCTTTTCTGATGTGCCCACCTGTTCCCAGTTTGTCGACACCTCTGTGCAAGGTGCATCCCTCGCCCACCCCAACCCTGTCCTGGAAGGATCTCAGCTCTTTCGCTAATGTTGACGCGCCCCCCTGTGGCCAAAGGTGAATAGTCCCGTTCATAACTTGAGGCCCTCATCACAGCTCAGCCCCAAAGGGGAAGTGGAAGGGAGGCACAGGCTCTTCCTAGAGAGCAGGCTGGTGTCAGTACTCACTGCGTTAGTTTGGGCACGGGTGGCTTGGCACCCAAAGTGGGTGGCAATGACAGCGATGAAGAACTCCAGGATGGTGAAGATGGTCAACACGGCAAGGTAGCCCCTGCCCACATCCTGGGGACCCAAAGCCACAGTCAAGGCATACTGAGAGTTTAAAAGTAAAGGACCCCCCTCAGGCAAGAGGCAGAGGCGTACCTGGATCCTGCCTTCCTGACTCCAGCCCCAGCCTCCCCGCTTCCATTCTATCAGTCTTCATCTCCCTTCCCCCCACACCTGATCTTGGGCTGTGTCCTAACGTTAGTACACTCATGAGGTCTATTGGAGCTCTGTAAATAGCCCAGGGCTGCGGACTGTTGGGCTGTCCTGGCTTCGGGAATCCCTCGTCTTTCCAGGTTTGTCCCCCCCTGGGAATGTCTGCCAACACACCCAGTTAGTAACACCAAAGTCCATGAGCAGAATGGCTGTTCCTGCGAAGGCTGCCATGGCACTGAGGATGTTGGTTCCCAGACTGCTCCTCACCTGTTGGAGGAAAAGGAGCACCAAGAAGAGGAGAGAGGAGGAGGGACACTAACTGTGCCCAGCCTGCACCCTCCCTCTCATGGCTTTGGGGCTTGGGGCCTTGCATGAGGCTGGGTTTTCCTTTCCCCACTCATCTTTCTCTTTTCCTTCCCTGTGACCCCAGGAAGAGGACCCGACATCTCCCTTTGCTTCTTCCACCCTCTTGGGAGCTGCTGGGGAGGAGGCCTGACCCTGTTGGTGGCTTTCCTGAGCCAGGTTTGCAACAGGTGTCTAATCTCCCAATTTACCTTAATCCAGGCCCAGGCCCACCCACGGAGACAACTTGGTGGCTATTCTCCTGGGGACTTTTCCTGCACCTGCTTTCTCTGACTGTCCCTGAACACTTTCTCTCTAGACCCTTACCATCCACTTTGGGTGGCATTTTGCAAGTGTCCCATCTTCTTCCTCTTTGTGTGGGTGTCTGAATTCCCTCCGTGGACACTTAGGAAACCCCCAAGAAATGCTTGTTGAATGGGCCAGATGAGTGAGCAGACGGGAGGGGGCGCCTGGGTAGCACCCATCTCCATCCCTGGTTCTCTGTCTCCTTTCAGACTTACCAGGCAACTGGTGTGGTTCCGCTCAGCTGCTACCGAGAGGGACCCGGAGATGATGAACTGTGTGGGGAAGAGAGGGCCCAGTGAGGTTTTGGCTGGAACGCTGAGCAGGGAGCTTCATAGCTAGGTTCCATCAAGACACGGATAACAGGTAGAGGACCATCAGCTTCCTTGTCTGCATCCTGGCCTGGCATCTTGCCTGTATTTGTAAGGTATCTTAGTGGTTCTGTAAGAGGCCTCTGCCCTCGGGCATGGTGGCACATGCCTAATTTAATCCAGTACTTGGGAGGCAGAGACAAGTGAATCTGTGAATTCAAGGCCTGCCTGCTCTATATAGTGAGTTCTAAGACAGCCAGAACTACAAATGGAGACCTTATCTCAAATGAACAAACACAAAGAGGCTTGAGACTTCAAGCCATAGTTTATTAGGTATGCATTTTTTGTTTACCTAGGTCGTTCAACTTTCCCTTAAATAATATTCACTCCTCAAATATTTACCAAGTAGCAGTTGGGTGACAAGAACATAAAATGGAGCTGGGCATGGTGGTGCATACCTTTAATCCGAGCAATTGGGGAGGCAGAGGCAGGAGGATCTCTCTGAGTTTGAGGCCAGCCTGGTCTACAGAGTGCAAGACAGCCAAAGCTACACAGAGAAACCCTGCCATGAAAAAACCAAAAACCAAAAACCAAAACCAAACCAAACCAAACCAAACCAAACCAAACAAACAAACAAAAAATAACCCCAAAGCATAAAATAAAAAAAGAAGATATCCTTCTCTCACGGGACTGATATTCAATCGGGCAGCATCCCCAGATGTGAGGGTGTGTGTGTGTGTTTGTACTCATGCCTGTGTAGCAAGGTCATCCTCCGGGTGTCATGCCTCCTCAGGAGCTGCCCACACATTTTTGAGATAGGGTCTCTAACATGGGCTTCCGGCTCACTGAGTATGCCGGGGAGTCTGAGCAGTGAGCCCAGGGAGGGCTGCCTGTCTCCATCTCGCCTGCCCTGGGGTTACAAAGCCAGGCTGGCTTTTGAAAGGGTGATAGAGACAAGGACTCAAGCCCTCATTCTCGCTATGCACATGCTTTACACACTGAACTAGCACCTCCCCCAGCCCTGTGAAGCTCTTTGAGAATGACTGAGATGGAGCTACACATGACCTCACAACCCTGCTGTCCTCTGAGACTGACCAGCAGGCTCTTGTTGACTGGGGCACATTTTGTGACAGATTTTGAAGCAGGAGGGAGCTGAGAGAAGAGTGCTACCTTTGTTTCTTCCTGAGGCAGTCCCCCCTAAGACTCCTGCGTTAGACTCCAGGACCGTTAGAGACAGGACTCAGAGCTTGTCCCCCCAGCCACCTAGCTCTAGCTGTGGAGTTTCAGCAATGTTGGCTCCTCTGAACTCCACTTGAGACAGCTTGGGACACGCAGAAGGGACTTCACTGTCATACACAGTGGAGCTGCAGTGCAGACCCATTAAGCTGGTCCCAGAGTCTACGCTTCCTGAACGCGGCTGGAGGCTCCCCATCACCAGAGGCACTGGCACCTTTGCTGGAGGCAGAGGCAGCAGTGCCGCCTCGCACACCCCCCCTCTGTTTGCCATCCAGGCGCAGACAAGGAAGCCCTGGTTTAGTTCTCCAGTGGGGTATGGCCAGAGGAATGGACGCAGGGCAGGGAGACTCCCTAGGGATTGGCTCAGGCAGGGATTGGCTCAGACACTTTCTGCTCAGGCTCAGGCAGGCTTAGGCCCCACAGCGGGAACTGAGGGGTTTCTGATGGTGGGCTGTGGGTGTGGGGTTAGGACACAGGTAGCCCAGGTGTGGTTAGGACACTGGCCTCACCCATAGTTTCTGGTAGAACTTTGCCTGTTTGCTGGGAGTGGGTCAGGCTGAGGTTTTTGATGAAGGTTTCGGGTGAGTGATAACTATTTTGCCCAGGTTAGTCTGGGGCCTGAGTAAGACCCTTACCCAGGATGGGCTAAGGCTAGGAAAATGTTGGGAGCGGGACAAGGTGAGGTGACCTGGGCAAGACCACCCCCCAGCCAAGGATGGCAACTCCACACTCACGAAAGCTCCTCCCCAGAAGGGGACGCCTCCTTCGATGAAGAGCATCCCCAGGTGGCCTCGGCGGACCATGAGGAGGACGCTGCCGAAGCCAAGGTGGATGAGGCCAATCAGGATCTGCACCGTCTGTGGGAAGCAGCGATGGCTCAGGCCACTGACCTCCGGCTGTGAGCTGTACACTACCCACTGCTGGCCTCTCAAGAGGGCCGCCTGCCCGATCCCCATCCCCGAAGAGGCTGAGGCCAGAGCATTAAATCAAGATGGAACCAGCTCTCCTCAGCCTAGCAGGAGCTCCAGGCCAATGCGGGACATGTGACTAGGGCTGCAGTTGTCAAGCACAGCTCTGAGTCTGCTTTTCTGATTTTTTTTCCCCCTTTGGTTTCTTGACTTTCAGCACTCTGGTACCAAACAGCTCGTTTGCCCTCTTCCTGTTATCTTTCAATAGCCCATCCTGGGGGTCGGGGTCACAAATGCTTCCACTGGCTGAAATTTCCACTTGGTTTTCTTTCCATCTTCCTTCCTCCCTGCCCTCTCTTACCTTCCTCACACCCCATTCTTTCTCCTACTTACCAGCGCCCTGCTGAAACATTCCCAGAAGTGGGGCAGTTTTCCTAAGAGTGGGGACTCTCTGGCTAGTGTGGCCTTGTGGTAAGTTCTGCTGCATTGCCTTCCAAACAGTTTTTTGGTGGGCAATGAATTCCAGAACTGAGCAGAAAGCTATAGGGAAGATCTTTGAGTCCAGCCTGTGTCCAAGCCCTGGCACCCCTTTCCAGCTCGGGGACTCCCACAGGGGCACCTATGGTGAGCAAGGGGGCAGCATTCCCAAGGCAGCAGTCCACCCATGCTGACTCTGTGAGCAGTGAGAGTCACGTTCTTGGCGTCATGGGGACTGCAGATCAGTTTCTAACGTGAGTGTTAAGAGCTGGGATATTCACGGGCACAAACTTGTGGATTCTGTTGCTTTCTCTCCTCCCTTGCCCACTGTCCATCTCTCCAGCTTCCCTGGGCAATGGGGGTAGGAGCAGAGATGGGGGTCTGTGGGGATGGAGGGTTGGAGGGTCCCACTGCCAACAGCACCATCTTTTCCTGCCACTGGGATAACTCCTGTGAACCCCAGCTGACACTTTCTGCAAGTCTTTCAGTGTGGCACTATGCTGGCTATTTTCAGATCTGTCCTCTTTTTAACCTTAACATAGTGATGTGAGCACTATCTTAATTTTGGAGCTCAGGAAACTGAGCTCACAGACACCCAGTAACCACAGATATGGCCAGCTGACTCCAAAGCTAGTGTGCTGGCTAGTTTTGTGTCAACTTGACACAAACTAGAGAAATGAAGAGAACTGAGAAAATGACTCTCTGGCTGCAGTCAGTAAGGCATTTTCTTTCCTTTTCTTTTCTTTCTTTCTTTCTTTCTTTCTTTCTTTCTTTCTTTCTTTCTTTCTTTCTTTTTTGATTTTTTGAGACAGGGTTTCTCTGTGTAGCCTTGGTTGTCCTGGACTTGCTTTGTAAACCAGGCTTGATTCTGGATCAAGCTCACAAAGATCCACCTGCTTCCCCCTTCCTGAGTACTGGGATTAAAGGAATGTGCCACCATGCCTGGCTAGGGCATTTTTTAAATTAGTGATTGGTGTGGGGGGCAGCCCATCGTGGATGGTGCTATCCCTGGACTGGTAGTCCTGGGTTCTAACTAGGCTAAGCAAGACAGTAAGCAGCACCCCTCCATGGCCTCTGCATCAGCTCCTGCCTCAAGATTCTTACCCTATTTGAGTTCCTGTCTTGACTTCCTCCAATAATAAGCCTACAATGTGGAAGGGTGAGCCAAATAAACCCTTTCTTCCCCAACTTGTTTTTGGCCATGGTGTTTCGTGTGTGTGTGTGTGTGTGTGTGTGTGTGTGTGTGTGTGTGTCTTATTCTCATTTGCTATCCTCAGCCATCTTATAATCCACTAAGCTTTCAGGATGGAGTTCTGCATCCCAGCAGGTCCTGGGATGTTCGAGGTCCTGGCATGACTAAACCGTGGGATTGAAAGTAGAACCCTACTGTCAGGCTGTCCCGGGTCACAGGGTGCTACCTACCTGCCAGCAGCCTGGCCTTGGGCAAGTGACTTATATTGACAGGCCTTAGGCTCTTAGTGTGTGCAATGAGAACTGGAGTCCCTGGCTCACAAGGTGATGCTGAGAAGCGAGGATTTGAAGAGATGATGTAGGCGTCTCTCAGAGCTGTCATTGTCACCACTGCTTGGACTGTCTCTATTGTTCACAGGGGAAAATGGGTATGCACATATCATCTGCATGTGTAATTGGACAGGAGACCATTAATGTCTCTTCCTCTGCAGCAAACTGCAGGCTTAGTATGGAAACAAACAGAAACCCAACGTCAGGGGCATATATGTTAAATAAACAGTGGGGTTCAGCCCAACACAGACAGCTGAGCTCATCCAGTCACAGGCACCCTAAGGATCAGACCACACTCAAATTAGCCAAATGCGCCCTCTCACGCAGGCAACCTCCCAGCTGCAGCCAATCGGGTGATCTTTCCACTTCGTTACATATGTCGGCCTGTGAAAGTTCACTGCTTACACTGTGGCATGGGGCTTGAATCCCTTGGTTCCGAGGGCTGCCTGGCGTTATGAGCTCTTGGCCCGACTTAACTCTGTTATGATTATGGGCAAAGAACCACGATACACAAGCACAAAATCACCATTATGAGACTCCTTATTTTGTACACTGAAAGACTTCAGTTGATTTTGAAGCTTTTGTTTTTAGCAATCCACATGCCTATATATCCATCACCTATTTAAAAAAATTATCATCAATCAGTCTTTCACCTATCTATATGACCTATCTAATCTATCATCATAATCATATATTATCATAATTATATACCAACCCACCATCTATCTATCTACCTATCTATCTATCTATCTATCTATCTATCTATCTATCTATCTATCTATCTATC